CAACAGCTTACAATCTTACACAAATCTACAGTATTCCCTCTCCCATAGCTGGTCCTGTAGCATGTGCCTGAATATTGCTTCTGAGCAAAACGCCAGTCTGGCTTGAGTTTGTGGGATTCTATCAGCTCTCCAATGTGAAATGTCACTAAGTTTTGGAGTCCTTCCAATAATCAGTAATAACACTTTTGGCCTGGCACAAACAGAGATCCTTACTAACTAACTATAGGCCTGGACTCAGTCTCAAGGCACCAACACTGAAATGAGGTGTGTGCACGATCTTACCGACCCGGGTCTGACTCTGAACAGAACAAATGTCTCTCCAACAAGCATGCGGTCTCACCGTATATGTTGCTTAGTTCCTCTGCTCTCATCAGCATTCCTGGCAGCAATCTCATCAGCTTCATTTAGCTGCAGCTCTGGTTATGGAGGGATGCTTTCACACCTGGATGTCATCAGATTCTCAGCTCACACGGCCCCTGCATTCACTATCCTCTAAACATGACTGCTCTCTCTCTTCTTCCTGTTCCCTCAACTCTGTGTGAAAACTCCACCTCTTCATGAATATAGAAATATCTATGCAGTCTGAGGCTCTTAGAAAAACAGTGACATCTTGTGGCTAAACTGCAGAATGTCAGTCAAAACATTTAATTTACTCCACACAAGCAGTATTCAAACAGTGAGAGCTGTTTCCCCATCTCACAGCTTTACTACCCTATATGCTTGGTTTGATTCCTACTTTGTGGAATTGAGGTAGTATACTATATCGGCCCTATTCTCCCTGTTGCTCCATCCTTGCCTGTACCGTAACAAAAGTTTAAATACGCTGCTTAGCAACCATTGTGGCTGAGTGGATATTTTTGAGGCCTTCATACTCCTCTACATTTTTCACCTCAGTGAATATTTTCAAGTGGCTTTTTGTGCTTTGGGGTCGATGTTCACATCAATCTTACAGCCTATATCTTTGGAAGACCTCGAGGAAATCCCCCCTTTATAGAGACAGCCAAGTGGTGTTTCATCCTTGTGGGATCCCCCTGCTGACTTGCCTGACACACAGCTGCTCCATGCGTTACCATCATATATCCCAACACACTTTCTGCTCTGTAGCTGATACCTCAAGTAATTCCTGAAGAAACGATACTCTCGCAAAACATGTTGAGTAACTATCAAGTGATTACCAGTATTGACATCTGATTTATGTCTTTTGATACCATTACCGGGTTATGGTACATTTGTGTCGATTTTGATCATTTTTGATGAGTTTTGTAATCAGCATAGAATACTCTACCCCCTTTTGGGGGTCTTGCATTCTTAGTGGAATAATATGTATGTAATGGTCTACATTTCTACAATAAAGTGATTTTAAAGGTATCTTTGTTGCACTGCCTTTAAAGTCCGCAGTTGGTCTTTTTTATTTTTCTTTGGTTCATTCCTGCATGATAACCTATGTGTCCATGTGCACAAAAGGCAGAAAAAAACCCCAGTGCCAGTGCATTGTGGAGCAGCAGCATTTTGGCAGAAAAAAACCTTTGACACGTGCAAACGTGTGTTAACGTAGGGGCATTTAGCACTTGAGCATTGTTCATTTCAATGGCCAGGGTAAATTAATATTATGGCCAATAAAATTAATTAAAGCCCAACCGGTTGATGCACCTAAACGCGTTACAAGTGTTTACAAGCGTCAAGACTTTTTTCTGCCAAAGCGCTGCTTCCAGGAGGAAAGGTGTCAAACGTCCAGTGGACATGAGGCCTAAGTAAGGAGAAATCTCTTTAACAGCAGAAAATATCAGACAGGGGTTCTAATTAGAGATGAGCGAATCGAACTTGGCGAAGTGGAATTCGTTTCGAATATTAGGAAAAATTCGATTCGCGTCGAATCCGAAAATTAGCAGACTTCGGATGCGCGAATCGAAATTTTTCCTAAAATGGCGGCGACATGTGTGGCGACGGAGCGGGGATCTCTGGGAAGGCGCGCAGACAAGGCACGCTGACCCATAATGCATTCATTCATGACATGTAATCGCATTAGCCAATCAGCAGCCAGCCAGCCAGCACTGTGTAATGGTGGAGCTATAAATTGCGGCCATCTTACAATTCTCCATTTGCCTCCGGTCATTCAAGAGAGACAGACCTGTCTGTATTAGGGACAGAGTTAGGGCCACAGATACTTTAGGGACACCGAATCGTTACTCAGGGACACAGAACTATTACTGAGGGACAGACACAGAACTGTTACTGAGGGACACGGAATTGTTACTGAGGGACACAGAATTGTTACTCAGGGACAGACACAGAATTGTTACTGAGGGACACAGAATTGTTACTCAGGGACAGACACAGAACTGTTACTCAGGGACAGACACAGAACTGTTACTCAGGGACACAGAATTGTTCCTGAGGGACACAGAATTGTTACTCAGGGACAGACACAGAATTGTTCCTGAGGGACACAGAATTGTTACTGAGGGACACAGAACTGTTACTCAGGGACAGACACAGAACTGTTACTCAGGGACACAGAATTGTTACTCAGGGACATAGAATTGTTCCTGAGGGACACAGAATTGTTACTCAGGGACAGACACAGAATTGTTCCTGAGGGACACAGAATTGTTACTGAGGGACACAGAACTGTTACTCAGGGACAGACACAGAATTGTTACTCAGGGACACAGAACTGTTACTCAGGGACACAGAACTGTTACTCAGGGACACAGAACTGTTACTCAGGGACAGACACAGAATTGTTACTCAGGGACAGACACAGAATTGTTACTCAGGGACAGACACAGAACTGTTACTCAGGGACAGACACAGAACTGTTACTCAGGGACAGACACAGAACTGTTACTCAGGGACACAGAACTGTTACTCAGGGACACAGAACTGTTACTCAGGGACACAGAACTGTTACTCAGGGACACAGAACTGTTACTCAGGGACACAGAACTGCTACTCAGGGACACAGAACTGCTACTCAGGGACACAGAACTGCTACTCAGGGACACAGAATTGTTACTCAGGGACAGACACAGAATTGTTACTCAGGGACAGACACAGAATTGTTACTCAGGGACAGACACAGAATTGTTACTCAGGGACAGACACAGAATTGTTACTCAGGGACAGACACAGAATTGTTACTCAGGGACACAGAACTGTTACTCAGGGACACAGAACTGTTACTCAGGGACACAGAACTGTTACTCAGGGACACAGAACTGTTACTCAGGGACACAGAACTGTTACTCAGGGACACAGAATCGTTGAATTAAAGAGTATGTCAGACAACACGCAGAGGAGTGGCAGAGGAGGCAACGTTTCAGGAGCGAGCAGACGTGGCAGCAGAGGAAGGGGTCAAGGCAGCACTAGTCGCAGCCAGAGGCCAGTGCTCCCGGTGTCATCCAGCGGTCGTGTCTCCACCGACAACCCTGCCGTCATCGATTGGTTGGCTCGGTCGTCTTCCTCTTCCCAGGTCACCTCTGACACCTACAGCCAACGGTCGGTGGGTACGTCAGACACAACCGTTAGTTGGCATGGCCCGGGAGCAAGCCCACTGAAATCACGTGTCCTCTACCTGCCCCTGTCCTTTGGTGTTCCCTCACCAAGCGAAGTATCGCATGCTGTGGGCTCAGCCCCACTGTACAGTGAGGAAGAGCTAACAGAGGGCGGTCAGGAACAGGGGGAGACATCCGCCTCTTCAGCAGCCAGGCGAAGAAGTACTGGCGAGGAGAGTGGCTCGGTAGCCGGTCTAGAGACAGGTCTGTCTCCTGACCCACATGCAGCCGAGGGGGCTAGTAGTGAGGCGGAGACCCTAATTGATGATGATGAGGCTGATCGCACTTGGCAGCCTCGTCGTCATCAGGCTATTGCTTCCGCATCATCAGGAGAAGAGGGTGGCAGCTTGGCAGCGAGCAAAACAGTCGGTGGGTTGCCCAGGAGGCAGCAGGGTCGCAGCAGTGTCAGTGGAGGCAAACGGCCACGGAGTAGAGCACCAGCTCCACTGCTGGTGGGTTCCATTTTGTCATAGGGTGCTGGCAGATTACGGGCCTCCCATTGCTGCTGCCAGGCCCCTAATCTGCCATGGGCCCCTGTACCGCCTCCTCATGCTGCTGCCAGGTCCACAGCGTGTCCTGGGTCCCTATACGGCCTCCCATTGCTGCTGTCTCCATCGCCACACTCTGCCATGTGCCACTTTCAGGTCTCCTCACACTGCTGCTGGGTTCCATTTTGTCATAGGGTGCTGGCAGATTACGGGCCTCCCATTGCTGCTGCCAGGCCCGTAATCTGCCATGGGCCCCCGTACCGCCTCCTCATGCTGCTGCCAGGTCCACAGTGTCTCATGGGTCCCTGTACGGCCTCCCATTGCTGAGCTGTCTCCATCGTCACACTCTGCCATGTGCCACTTTCAGGTCTCCTCACACTGCTGCTGTGTTCCATTTTGTGATAGGGTGCTGGCAGATTACGGGCCTCCCATTGCTGCTGCCAGGCCCCTAATCTGCCATGGGCCCCTGTACCGCCTCCTCATGCTGCTGCCAGGTCCACAGTGTGTCATGGGTCCCTGTACCGACTCCTCATGCTGCTGCCAGGCCCGTAATCTGTCACGGGCCCCTGTACCGCCTCCTCATGCTGCTGCCAGGTCCAGAGTGTGTCATGGGCCCCCGTACCGACTCCTCATGCTGCTGCCAGGCCCGTAATCTGTCATGGGCCCCTGTACCGCCTCCTCATGCTGCTGCCAGGTCCAGAGTGTGTCATGGGTCCCTGTACGGCCTCCCATTGCTGCTGCCAGGCCCGTAATCTGCCATGGGCCCCCGTACCGACTCCTCATGCTGCTGCCAGGCCCGTAATCTGTCATGGGCCCCTGTACCGCCTCCTCATGCTGCTGCCAGGTCCAGAGTGTGTCATGGGCCCCCGTACCGACTCCTCATGCTGCTGCCAGGCCCGTAATCTGTCATGGGCCCCTGTACCGACTCCTCATGCTGCTGCCAGGCCCGTAATCTGTCATGGGCCCCTGTACCGCCTCCTCATGCTGCTGCCAGGTCCAGAGTGTGTCATGGGCCCCCGTACCGACTCCTCATGCTGCTGCCAGGCCCGTAATCTGTCATGGGCCCCTGTACCGCCTCCTCATGCTGCTGCCAGGTCCAGAGTGTGTCATGGGTCCCTGTACGGCCTCCCATTGCTGCTGCCAGGCCCGTAATCTGCCATGGGCCCCCGTACCGACTCCTCATGCTGCTGCCAGGCCCGTAATCTGTCATGGGCCCCTGTACCGCCTCCTCATGCTGCTGCCAGGTCCAGAGTGTGTCATGGGTCCCTGTACGGCCTCCCATTGCTGCTGCCAGGCCCGTAATCTGCCATGGGCCCCCGTACCGACTCCTCATGCTGGTGCCAGGCCCGTAATCTGTCATGGGCCCCTGTACCGCCTCCTCATGCTGCTGCCAGGTCCAGAGTGTGTCATGGGTCCCTGTACGGCCTCCCATTGCTGCTGTCTCCATCGCCACACTCTGCCATGTGCCACTTTCAGGTCTCCTCACACTGCTGGTGGGTTCCATTTTGTCATAGGGTGCTGTATGGCCTCCCATTGCTGCTGCCTCCACCGCCACACTGTGGCTCTACACTCTGGTTTTGGCCCCGTGACTGCCCAAATGAGTGAAGTGTGCGGTGATTCTAAGATCGACGGCACTCATCTGCATGTCATACTGACTGACAGTATTATTTCTCTTCCCCAGCAGACTCCAAGGGCATTTAAATTAAAGGTACAGTGTTCTGCACTAATATAAAGGCTCTCTGAAGCCTAGAAACACCCTTTTATAAGTTACATTCGCAGCGAATATATTCGACTCGAATCGAATTTTTTCCACGAATTCGCCGAATCAGTCGAATCGAATTTTTGAATAATTCGCTCATCTCTAGTTCTAATCCTTCCCCACTGCTTTGGTTTTTAACCTCTTAGCTGTGCTTACTGAGCTGCTTTGAAGAAATTTGCTTACATAGTTAGTCTGAAGAAAGACAAAAGTCCATCCAGTTCAACCATTAAAAAAACCCAAAACAAAACAAAACCTACTCTTTTCTTAGAGGGTGTTAATTTTTTTTTTGGGGGGGGGGGGGTGTATTTATTTCATGAATTGTTCTCTCTAGTTGCATTTTTTTCCCCTTTGATCGTTATTTGTATGCTGCTATCTACTTTTACTTTACATTTTTTTCCTGTGAAAAAAGTAACATAATGAGGATAATGAGGGGCTTTTGCACAATAAAAGGTACAGGATACTTGAAAGGAGCTTCTCTAACCCCGAGGAACTGTTTGAAGTCCATTGTACAGTTACAAAATACCAAACACACCTTAGTTCCACTTTCCCCATTGACTCAACTAAATTGCACCAAAATTCCAACTGATTTTATTTTTACCAGAATTTTGGGAAAATAAAAAAACGTTTTTTAATCTTTTCCCCCATTCCTTGTTGATAACATTTTAAAATGAGAAAAAAAGAAGTACATTTGGTTAAAAAAAGAATAGAATTTATTTATTTCTCCAAGAAATTACTCCCAGTCCCTGAACTACTGTATTGAGTGTCCCTGTAGACAGCACAGCTGCTGTAGCAACATTTTGCAAGCTATATAAACCTCTCCAGATACTTCGGAAAATCTGGGAGATCTGAAACCACTATTTCACAGCAAGGTAACATTTTATCTAAATGCATGAGGAAACATTATGTGTTTGTTGAATTATTAACAAATAGCCCAGATATTAATCTCCCTGCAAGTTTACAATACATGAAATAATGTTCTCCCAACTATATAAACCATGTACATCTAGCCTAAATTGTTAGCATCTATAACTTGTATTCTTAATGTGATCTCTCTTATGACTGCATTCATAAAACACACAACCACAGTATAATTATTGTGTTACTTCTTGATTTTCCAAACTTACTTGTGTTCTTAAATAACTGGAAGACAGTGAAAAATATTCCTCTACAATCAGGGATTCATAGGTTTAATTTATAATCTTATTATTTACAATAATAGGTAAAAAGCCTTACTGTGCCTGCATGCCTGTACATGGAGATACTGTACACCTCAAAGAACTGCATTACAGGTAACATGCATATGTACAGCCAGCATTGCTTCATAGTCTTCCTGTGTACACAGCACACCACCCACACTCACATACAGGCATTGTTCAGAATTAGTGGAGAGGCTTTGGTATTGCAAAGGAAAGTGATTCAAAAGGTATTTATCTACTAATTTTAAAGATCTACCTAATAATCATCTCTAAATATCATTATTAGTTAATGTAAACCAAATATTTGACAAATAAGGTCAATGGAAAAAAATATTCAGAAACAGTATATGCTAACATTTCTATTTGATATTTTACAAATAATTCAACATGACCAAAAAAAATCATTTAAAATGCTTTCTAGCATAAGAATTCTGAAGTCAAAAATATAGTAATAATAATTACTGTCATTAATCGTTGAATAAAAGTCTAGTGCTGAAAAAATATTAAAAATGGAATATTACATTTTTAAAGTGGTTATAGAGTGGGGAAAGTACATTTTTTGATCCCCTGCAGATTTTGTAAGCTTTCCCACTTATAAAGAAATGAAGGGTCTACAGTTTTTATCATAGGTGTCATGAGCTGGGGATAAGCAGCCGGGATATATGCTTCCTGTGGTAAGCAGTCTTTCAGGCACAGATACCAAATCCAGTGAGGTTAGTGGCAAACAGTGAAAGTGTTTATTAGTGCGGTTTACAAAAGACTATATACAAAGTGCTGTACAGTGTTCAACCAAAATAAACAGGGCAAGAAAATATAAAACAAAAGTCCCGGCTCTCACTACACAGTAATGCAGATCCTAACTATCAGACTGATCAAGCCTACCACTTGCCACAACATGCACAGCTAGTTAGTTTCCACCAACCTTTCAGGTCTAAAGACAGGACTTGTCTGATCCCCAGGCTGAGAGCTCTGGCTACAGGTCCCAGGTGGATTTAATTGCCCACAGAGAGAGGTAAATCCTGCACTGGACCTCATATTAAAGATCCCTAAAAAGGTATAAGTAAGGAACCTGGGAGATCTATAAAAACCATGAACAGGACTTTCCCAGGGTTCCTTTAGGACGCTCTGCCACATATCCCACCCCCCTTGTTTCAATCCCAGGGTTGGAACACCTGTGGCCCAACAGGAATGAACCTGGGACAGGGCATCAACATTCCCCATCTTAAGCCCTGCCCTGTTCTTTACAGTGAAGGCAAAGTCCTGCAGGGCCAGAAACCACTGGTTCACCCATCTATTTGTTTCCTTCTTTTGAGCCATCCACTTAAGGGGAGCATGATCAGTTGTTAACTCAAACTGGTGTCCTAACAGATAATACCTTAGTGTGTCTATGACAACATATTTTTTTCTCATGCTCATTGAGCTTTTTGCTCAGGTACACCACAGGGTGTTCTTCCCCATTGCATACCTGTGACAATACCGCTCCAATACCAACTTCAGATGCTTCCATCTGCGTCAAGGGGAGCGCGTTTGACCTCGGGGAACATACCGTATTTTCCGGCCGTCCCCCCCCCTTCCGACAGAAGGGACACTAAGTACAGGGGTGGGCAGAGGGCTGCTGTCTCTTACCTGGCTCCCACGATGATCCATCCAGGAAGCGCTGTTCCTTCCGTCACTCCGGCCACTCCCTCACTCCTGCCGCTCGGCTCCGCCTCCTCACTGGTGATTGGCCGCCAGAACTGTAGCTCAGGAAAGGTACACAGGAGGCCAATCACGGGCGAGGAGGGAGGGGCCAAGCGGACCCGCGAAAATCGAGTGAGGGAAAAGCCGGTAAGTGTGCAGTGCAGAGGTGCTGCTGCAACCACATATGCTGGCTGCAGCAGCACCATACTGCAACAGGGGTCAGCAAGTGTCATATACAGTCGCGCGGGGGGGGGGGGGGCGCAAAATGTTTTCTTCTTCCTGGGGGGGCATGACAGAAAATAATTGAGAAGCACTGCTCTAACCCAATAGCACATTTTTTTGGATTGGCTGTAAAACCTTCCTTAAAAAGGGAAATCCAAGACCGCCTAGACACGGGGCAATTGAGACTCCCAGGAGGTAATATATCAAAAACATTGATATATTGCTGCCAGATTCATCCACCTTACTAACCGTTCCATATCTTCCATCCCTCTCTGCCAATCCCCCCACTGGCTTCCCATTGCCCAATGAATAAAATTCTAAATATTAACAATCACATGTAAAACCACTTAACTCTGCCTCAAATTACATCACCAATCTTGTCTCCAAATATCACCCAAACCGTCCTCTCCGCTCCTCACACGACCTCCTGCTCGTCCCAGTTTTTCCCATCCTTATCAACAACCTTTTTCAACATCTGTTTTAGTGTTATATTAAAGCGTTCCACCAAGCCATCCGTTTGCAGGTGGTACACAGAAGTTCGCAACTGGGTCACCTTAAACAAATTTGCACATTTCTCTGGTTACCCGTGACATGAATGGGGTGCCCTGGTCTTTAAGGACCTCCTTAGGGATCCTTACATGACTGAACACCATGAACAACTATTTAGCTATGTTTTTAGCCGATGCAATGAGCAAAGGAACTGCCTCAGGGTAACGGGTAACATAATCCATAATTACAAGGATATATTGATGGCCCCGGGCAGACTTGGGCAGTGGACACACAAGGTCCATGGCAATCCTCTCAAAGGGCACTTCAATAATGGCTAAGGGCACTACAGAACTTTGGAAGTGTGGAGGGGGTGCTGAGATTTGACACACAGGACAGGATTGACAAAAATTCTCAATGTCTTTCTGTACCCCAGGCCAGTAAAACCTGCGCAGCACCCTTTCAGTGGTTTTCTAAACCCCTAAATGACCTCACAGCAAGTGCTCATGGGCAAGTTCCAACATCACCCTTCTGTATGGCTTAGGGACCACCAACTGCTCAACTTCTTCATTCTTTTTGTATACACGATACAATAAAACTTCATTACTGCTGAAATAAGGAAAACAGGGCCTGTCCCCTTGTTCGACAGGTACATCATTAATCATCACTATATTTTCCCAGGCCCTGGTAAGGGTAGGGTCTTTTCTCTGCTCCGTTACAAAGTTTTCCTTGTGTACCTCAAGGTCAGTAAACTCTAGTGTAGCCTCAGTGTCGGCAGAAGGGTGGCTACTTCCACTGGTTGTGGGGACTTCCTCAGGCTCCTCCAGTTTTCCCACCATTATTGAAAAAGGAAAACCTGAGTAACCCTGAAAAGAGTCCACTGAACCCACATTGTTAACGTTGGCCAAGGGTTTTGGCTCCGCCACAGAGTCAGTTACTGTGACCGAGTCGGGACGATCCCACAGTTTCCCAAAACTCAGGGAAGTCCCTACCAATGATGGACTCATGCACTAGGTGGGGTACCAGTCCGACCCAATGAGTCACAGTACCTAAGTCAGTTTAAAATATAACAGTTGCTATAAGATAATCCTGAGTATCCTCATGTACACAAATCACTGCAGTTTTTCCATCATACAAGTTCACAGTTTCAACCATCTCAGCTTTAACTAAAGTAATCAGACTTCCCGAGTCCAGCAAAGCCATAATAGGCTTATAATTAACAATCATTTGGCACATGTGTCTTCCCACACTTGGTGCTGCAACGCATGAAACAACAGCAAACACAGACTGCCGTCTGAGAGATAAGTTACACTGCATTGGCTCATCTGTCAATGGACAGTTTGCTGCAACATATCCCAGTTCATGGCAACGAAAACACCTGATACTGCC